AAAAAAAAAAAAAAAAAAAAAAAAAAAAAAAAAAATGAATTTAAAAAAAAAAAAAATTTTTTTAATTTAAAAAAAAATATGCAATAATTACTACATTTTGTGATAATACATTAAAATAGTAAAAAAAAAAAAAAATTAACTGGACGAACATATATATATGTCATTTATTTATACATATAAGTGCGCTTTTTTTGTTTTGAAAACAAAAAAAATAAAATACAAACAATACAATTTTTTTGCATATCTTTAAAACTTTGCATTTTATTTATTTTTTCTTTTTTTTTGTATGGTATGAGAAAGGCCATATTTGTTATTGCATGCCTCTACGGCGGAGCACCTTTGCATATTTTTTGAAAATACGCGATATATATTTTTATGTATATAATATATATGGCTGCTGTTGCATATAATATATATCTTATATAATATTATGTATAATTGTATATGTTAATATATATGCTCTGTGTACGTGTACAAGTATACGCGCGTGTTTATTATAATATCTTGTACGTACTGGCATTTATATGTATGCACCTTTGTACTGCACATATAAGCGTGTATATACGGACGTATATTATACGTAAAATAATATATACTTACGTTGTGACGCAAGCAAATACGTGTATTTTATATATCAGTGAATATACGTGCATTAAACCTTGCCTTTATCGAGGCAGAGAGCAAATTAGAACATTTTGAGCATCTCCGTTGACTGCACGAAGGCGGAGTGAAAAAATTGTTTATGTGAATATAAAAAAGGTGCAACAGAATTAAAAAAGCTGTATGAGTTAGTAGTATGCATATAGGAGCGTTTGCCCACGTGCGTACAAAATTACATTTATGAGTTAAGCGGGATGGTGTTGTAGATAAAACATACGCTTACGCGCGCTCATACATGTTTCAGTACATCCACTAATATTTACATGTAACTACTTCTATATGAATATACCAAAATACCCCTACACTTTTTACGTATATATCTTTACCCTCTTATAAAATAAGTCAAAATTATTTTCATTTTTCGCTGATAGAAAATCATGTGTAACAAACACTGATATATTGGCAAAAAAAAATGAAATGTACAAGTGTTATTATAATATGTTTATATATGTACATTTTCTTTTAACTGCGCATTAAATATTTGCTAAAATTTGCTAAGTTAAAAAATTAACAATACAAAACTGTGATATAGTATAAAAGTTAAAAAAAAAAAAAAAAACATTAAGAACGATATCTACATAGCATCACATATATATATAAAGTGTTGCACGTACACTGGTTGGCAGCGCGTAGCAGTACTAGCAGCAGCACTGGTGAAAGAGTCAAGCACAACACATTGTGGTAGAATAACAAAAGAGAATCAATCCCAGTTCATATACTAATACACGTCCACCCTGGAAACAATGATATTAAATCTGTATACAAAATTAAATAAAGCCTAAGCGACAAACGTGAATAACAAAAGTGAAGATAAGTATAACGAAATCCTGAACGTGAAAAGCATTTTTTGAAACTGAAAAATTATAACACCTCTGGACGACATACGTGTATGTAGTAATAATGCTATCTCTGGTATACCTACACACGAAGTAAGTACTGACAGCGACATTCTCGATCGTACTGCAGCGGTAGCTATATAGTAGTATAGTTTTGTGAACGTTCATATGGTGTGAGATGTGTATTATATACCATGTCACTCTTTGGACGCTCTCACATATTTCTGTTGTAGCAACGCAATAGCAAAAAAGCAAAGTGTGGTAGCAGTTATCAATTGCCATCAATTGTAACGAATTGCAACTTGCTGAGAACAAAAAGGGAAGTGACGAGAGAAGAAGCCAGTCGCTAAATTGACATATAGGAAGAAAAAGGGAAAGCGGCATACACATATATACACACACACACACGTACATATATAGTGGTGTAGAGACTGGAATAAAAAGATGAACACAAATAATGACGAAATGAGTAATGTATCAAATGATAACAATATTGGTAGTAGTAGTAGTAGTAATATAAACAGCATTAACAACATTAGCAATAATTTTGGCCATGTTGCAGGTGCTGAAAATATTAACAATGCTATCATAAGCGCAAACCATTTTAACAGTACAAATAATTTAGTCGATTCTGAGAATGAAAATCATCATGATCACATAGGGCTGAAAAATGTACATATCAACAATAAAAATATGGATAACTACAGATCACTTTCTAATGAAAACACAATTGATGATAATGGAAATGACATGAATTTCCTCAACGATGATGATAATGATAATTGCAACGAGAGCAATGAAAATAATCACGGTGGGAATGTGGGAGCTACCATCGAAGGCGCGAACGATATGGGAAATAATGACAAGGATCAAGCCAACGGCATACATAATAACGTAGCGCATGAACAGAATGGCGGTAACGATATTGCTAGCAATGGCATGAACAATATGGAGACGATGCTCACCTCGCAAGATGGCCAATTGAATAGTGATAAGAAGGGTGCACCAAATGGGAACTGTAAAAATTCGTTTTTCAAAAATGTAGACGATATGAGGAGCTTTGAAAGAGGAATTCTCTACCTGACCGATGAAGAATTTAAGTATATATCAAATACAGTTAATTTGTTAGGGTTTCGATTTTTTGAAATTCCATCAGAAAAGCCTAAGACTGATAAGAGAAATACCTACAGCGCAATATCCAAGAGACATTTAAATGAAATTAAGAATTTACGTTGCTCCTTGTCAAACAATATATACGATGCTGGTAAGAGGAAATCGAAGAAGTCCTTTGATCGGTACTATTCGAAAGATGAAACGAGTAGCACTACCACAAAAGATAATAACGACACCCAAAGAGAAATTACCCGAAAGAGGGGAGCGGCATATAACAATTACGACGATGATAATAAGAGTTCCCTGAACGATGATGATAACAAGTATGGTAATAACAGTAATAATCATGTTAGCAATGGCACGGCTGCTGTATGTTCTTCATCCGCATACAGAGGAGGGGCATATCCCAACAAAGTGGGTAGCAGCAGCGGTTCGGGAGTTAACACCAAAATGAGTGAGAGCGATAAAGTCGCACAAGGGAGGAATAGCAATATGGTCAAAAAAGGATCTATTATTAAAGGCGAAATGGATAACGGTAGTGTGAATAAAAATGCCTATGGAGCATTACCCAGCGTCGGAAAGGGGAAATCGTCCAAAGCGATTGGAAGTAGTAATAGTAAAAATAATGCGGCTATGCATCCTAGTAACTATAAGCAAGGAGCGACAGGTGCAGCAGCGGCCGTGGCAGGAGGAAAGGAAGCTCTAAAAAAGAGACGACGAAGTAGCAACAGTAGTATACAGGAAGATGACACAGTTGATGAATATGAACAACATAAAAGAACTTACAAGAAAAGAATCTACAAGGGTGGTAACCCTTGGAAAAATTGGTGCTTCAAAATATTACACAAATTGAAGAAGAAAGAAATATGTTGCTGGTTCTTAAAACCCGTAAATCCAGAATTGGATGGAATACCAAATTATTTTAATGTTATTAAAAACCCCATGGATTTTGAGACGATCGAAAATAAACTACTAACGAACAAATATAATAACCCATTTGAATGGCAACAAGATGTACGACAAATATTTTTTAATGCCTTTACATATCATAAGGTGAAAAACTGCGTTTGGAATGATGCTTACAAACTAGCCAAAGAATTTGATAAGTTAGTCAAACAGCACACAGAAATGAAAAATATTCTCAGCGAATGTACAAAGGGTTCCAATTCTGTGTATCTAGATATGAACAAATATAATAAAATTTTGGAAGAGAAATATGAGTATGATGAAAATATGAATCACACTTATAGTAGTAGTAGCTATAGTGGAAGTTCCAGTGAGGAAGTCAGTTCTGATGAATACCAAAGTAACAAAAGGTATAATAGAAATAACAGTGCTAGTAATGCCTACACAGCTAGGAAGAAAAATATGATGATGATGAATAGAGGAGGAGGGGTGGCAGCAGGGAATCATGCACCTTACCACAATATGGACCCGTCGAATCACATGTACGGAGTACCAAATAGAAAGGGATCTGGTGCGGCAGGTGACAATCGGTTTAACAAAATGAGTAAACAAATGTCCAGCATATCATCAAAGAGTGCAAGAGACAAATTTGTAAATAACAAAAAGGATAGCTGCTACGGTGTAGGAAATAATAAAGGTGGTAGTGGTAATATCCACATGAATAGCCATAGTAATAGTTTAGAATTTGAGCCGCCCAGCATTGGAACCATACCCGAACCACCAGGTATTCAGAAAATTGGAGCGAATGATAAAGGGTTAAATAACTATCAAGTGAATGTACTTTTTAAGAATTTAAGAAGATTAGCACCAAATCAAAGAAGGGCAGCATTAGAAATTATACAGGACGATTTAGGGATACTTGCGGAGAATCACATGTTCGATAGATTTTTCACATTTGACACGGATTTGTTGTCCATTGAAAAACAGAAAAGAATATTTCTTTACATTAACCATATGGGTAGAATAAATTTGGAGCAGTATAAAGCTTCTCTCATTCCATCAGATCAAATGGGCGCATGTACTATACCCAAGGGAAAAATGCCAATGAAAAATATGAACAGCAAGAATTACCTCAATAGCACAAACAGTCTAGGTAATAACAATAGCAGTAGTCATAATATCCATTTTGATAAGAGGAGAACAAATAGGTATTTATCCTCTTCTTCCAATTCGTCCGATTCGTCTTCATCCAACTCCTCCGATTCTTCGACCTATTCTACGTCCAGTGAGGACAGCGAATCAGAGGATAGTGACTCGGACATGGACTCTGATTCGTATGAGAGGAAAAAGGTAAAGAAGCAGTTATCTTCCAATGAACGGAAAAAAGAAGTAATGACAAACAAATATTTTGACAAGAGAAAATCCCTCCCACAATACAAACCGATTGACGAGAATAAGAAAAATTTACAATTAAGAGATGACGTTATGGGAATGCAACCTGATTTTTTAGCCTCCATGGATGGACCAAAGAACGGCAAGAAGGATCCCAAGAGTTCTGGCTCGGCTTGGCCCGAGTGGAAGGGACAGGTTATTCAACAGGCCATATTAACTCAACACAAGTCAAGTGTCCCCCTAAATAAGAAGGAGTTGATAGCGGAAGGTTATGACGCCAAAATTTAGCCGCGTTCCTCTACAAATTGGGGTGAATTCGCCGAACGTTTATAATCAGCTTTGAATATTCCTAAATGGAGGAGGAGTGATGGTCGTCGGGAAAATAATATGTTCGCCAAATTGAGCAACAGTGGCACGTATTGTTATATTATACTCCCCCCCAGTGCGAGATGCACCATAGAACACTTAGCAAAGGTTGTTATGCGTGTAAATTTATACGACGTTGCAGTAGCGCCATGTGTACATAACAACGTGAGCGGGTCATCCCCGATTTGTACAAAATATGGTAAAGCGGTATGGACACCAGTATAATCGAAATTAGGATTGTTAAAAAGAAGGTTGCTAAGAATGAAGCAGAGGAGAGAGGAACATGGATCAAGATCATTAGTGTATTATAACGTTACATGAAGAGGAACACACAATTCGTAAAAACGCACTGATTGCCACTAAACAAAGGATCCGAGCATGTCAAGGCCATTTTTTGTTTTTTTTTTTTTTTTCATACCCCAGTATGTATGCGCCATCTGCATTATATTTGAGGCTGAAGGACATTACCGATTTGGAGATAAAAAGCACACCAGCTTTTATCTAGTAAATATTTTTGTTTTTTTCCCATAAAAATCAAGTCACGTCAGCGACTGAAGAGCGATATTCCGATGATAAAATGATGTCTGTGCAATTATTTGCATGCCGAAGTAGTGCACAAAAAATTATTTCCCCCAAAAAGTTTGTAACAGCATATTGTTAAAAAAAGTTAACGTATCCATACCCCCCCCTGTACAAAATTAGTATAAATCGAAGGACCAACTTGTTTGGTGAAAGTTTAAGTACAAAACAAAGATACATTACTCAAGTTATTTTTTCAGTTTTCAAATGCTTTTCTTGTTAAATTGTATGTACAATATACATATGTGTTGTGTATATATACAATGCATCCAGTGCTGCGTATAATATACACCCAGTTGTGCCTCAACAACTTTGGTGAAAATATTCACCCGCGTCGAACTGTTTTGCGTTCGCACGTATCAGTTGCATGGGTCAACACGCAAAACTACACACACAGGAGAAAAGAGCATCATGCTCATGATGTGAAATTACTTTTTTCTCCGTTTCTATCAAGCGAAAGGAACAGCAAAGAGGAGTAATGAGTGCAGGGAAGCAAGTCTCTTTTTTGCATCCTTTGTAAGCTTATCTATATATATATATATATATTTTTTTTTTTTTTTTTGACAAAATATGGAAGAATGTGTATTCAAGTGGAGCAGGAAACACATCAGTTGAAGAAAGGGAAGAAGTTAATTTTGTCAGTGCATGGATATATACCTATATATATGTGTGCGGACATGTATGTACATATACATATATATAGGTGCACTATTCTATGCTTTGTTTTTTTTTTTTTTTTTTGGGCATTTTTTTTTATGCCAATAATTTCACCTCCACGTTACTCATTTTTCCATGTGTAATTCAGCAATTTTGTATTTTTCTAAAGTTCGTAAAAGTGAGGAATTTAACCTTCCCATTTTTGCCAGCCTATTTTTATCGCCTTTTTTTTTTTTTTAAGTAAACAGTATTTATGCATAGAGTAAGAAGGCGCAAGCGGATTATATTCTTACCTGTGTACTTATTATTACCAACATATGAACATATATATAATATATTTTACGTGGTTTTATCTTTTGTCCTTTCTCTCCCTATAAAAAAAAAAGAAAAAGGGAAAGAGAATTGACGCACAAATGCAACTAACATAAAAGGTATGAAATAAATATCAAATTATTGAGGAGAAAAGAAAAACTCCATTTCTTCGCAGTTAGACGCTTTTCATATGGTAAATCGGTTTGAGCGGAAAAAAGGGGTCAAGGTGTTAAGTCCTCATATATAATCTGCCTCGTGCATCCACTTTAAAATACTACCGAGATGAAATGAATACACATATATTGTAGCCAAATCCTCCTATGCAAAATGGACACAACCGTGTGCCTCTTTACCCTTTTGATACAACAAAAAGGGGGAGTTAAAACATTGACGCTGTTATACAGCACAGTTTGGCACCATAGTAAAGTTACATTTTGCTGGTGAAAACCATAAAAAAAAAAAAAAATGCTCATTCGCAAAGAGATTCAACAAACCCGTTTACATAAAACACATTTTATAGTATACCTAAATATCGCTTACACAAAAAATGAACCATACGCATGTGCCAAAATAGGAAGCAGCTATGGTTTTTCTATCATAAAAAAAAAATGTGCATATAAAAAAGAATAAAATAAAATAAGTACACGTCTGATTGTATACCTAATGATGCGCAAAAATGCGCGAACTTAAAAAGAATGTACAAATTCGAATTTAGAGTTTCTTACATAACATTCCGCAGTAGGGAAAAAGGATGCATCGATGTTTCCTTCCATCAACCTTGTTATGTCTTTTCCTGAATTTCACTCCTCACCTTTGCTCCTTCGTTTTCTCCATCTTTTCCTTCACATAATTCGCATGCGATTTTACGCTTTCCTTGGAAAAATTTTCCTGCACCATCTCTTTCATATGTCTAATAGCTTTGGCTGGGTCCAGACCTTTCGGGCAGCAAAGGGTACAATTCATGATACCATGGCATCTATACAACTTCATCGTGTCATTAACTTCCATTAGACGTTCTTTTGTATATTCGTCCCTACTGTCGACAATCCAGCGGTAGGCTTGCATTAACGTGGCAGGGCCTAAATAATATTCCGGGTTCCACCAATAAGAAGGACACGAAGTGGAGCAAGATGCACACATAATACATTCATATAAGCCATCTAATTTTTTCCTGTCCTCAATAGATTGGTAAAATTCTTTCTGCCCTTTTTCTTTTTTCGTTTTTCTTTTTAACCAAGGATCAATAGATTTATACTGATTATAAAAATTTGTTAAATCTGGAACTAGGTCTTTTATAATGTACAAATTGGGCAGAGGGTGAATTTCGGTGACTTCCTTTTTGTCTTTATTAACTTCAGTTAAACATGCTAACCCATTTTTTCCATTTATGTTCATGGCGCAACTGCCACAGATACCTTCACGACAACTCCTCCTGAAGGATAATGTAGAATCTATTTCATCTTTTATCTTAATGAGGACATCTAAAACCATAGGTCCACAGTTATCTATATCTACTTCAAAAGTTTCCATTTGGGGTCTTTTATTATTTTGTGGGTTATATCGAAAAATGGAAAATTTCTTCAGTTCATTTTGTCGTATGTTTTTATTATGGTCGGACGACTTGTTTTTTACAAATTGGTCTTTCTCTGTGGCTTGGTTCGTGGATGTGTTTTGAGCAGTTGACATGAATCGTTTCTTGTTTAAGAATAACGACTGTTTGTAGTTTTGCGGTTCTACTGCTCGCCTGGGGGCATTCCTCCCCACTGTCCCAATGGTTCCCATTGCTCGCGCCATGCGTGTTATCCTTGTCATGTTCGCTACACATGCCACACGAGCCACCCTCTTCATTTTTGTTTTCCTTTCCTTTTTTCACTTAAACAAGATGAAACATAAACATTCAATGGGGTGGGTAGCCACATAAATGCAAACACTCAAACACATACATAGATTTGTTAACCTGAAAAGATGCTACCCTTTTCGTCAACGTTATTTTACGCATACTTTTATGCATGCGTGTTGTTCCTCATAAGGGGAAAAAAAAAAAAAAGGTTCAAAGGGGGGAAAAAGGCATTCCAGTTACACGGCTGACATGATTATCTCTCGACTTAAAGGGGCCGTCATGTAAACAAAAAACAAATTGCATACGGGAATCGCCATTTAAAGTGGCAGACTAAAAAATGATTGAGTAAAATAAGGTGTGAATAAAATGGTAAAAAGCAAATGGGATAAAAAAATACAAGCGGAAAAATAAATAAATGAGCAAATGGGACATAAACTAAACAGCTGTGTGCTGCATGGCACATGCAAAGGCGTTTTTTTTTTTTTGCATTTGTTTTCCCGCGATTGTTTATACACGAATACACATCACAGAATTAACGGCTTTTCTAAACCATTGACCTGCTAAACCTGGAACAAATTTACACCAAGTTTGCCACTTGTTTAAAATAATTCCAATTTGCGCCCACATGTTTTCACATTTCACCTTTTTTATTTTTTCTTTTTTTTTGCGGATTCGCAATTTTAAGATGTTTTTTTTTTATTTTTGCAAATTTTATTTTTTTTAATTAACTTCTTCCCTATGCTGTTCTGGGCTGCGCTTTTCACGTTTCGCAAAAAAAATATATATATATGTGTAATGCATACTACGTGCAAATAATTAATGATACAGACAAAGTGACCCTTTGCAAAATTGCGCCTTTTTTTTTTTTACGCATCCAAATGACCACAATGGCATTGAACATACGACAGCCATGTGTTGTGTTCCGCTTTTTAATAAACCCACACAACAGGTTTAAAAAATCGGTGAATTGCTTTGTGGCTTCTAAAATGGTATGGTTAAATTCATCATGTTGAGGAGGGAATGAGTTCCCATTTGTCCATTCTCTTTACCTTTTAATATCTTAAGATGTACGTGCAACAGGTGTGTGTTACAGAGGAAACGTGGGAAATTTAAACCATTACAGCCAACGGGAACATACACCTTCACCATTTAATTTATTTTTCCTTTATAACAAAAATGGTTATTCTAATTTTACGTAACCGTGTTAATCTTTTTCAAAATAATTAAGAAAAAGAGGAATGGATAAAATGTAAAAAGGATAATTGTGCGGAGAATATAGCGTATAATGTAATACCAAGAATTGGTAAACACCCCTGCAGAAATAGCATGGGTCAGCATCAAAAAAAAAAAGTATATATATATATGTATATGTTTATTTGGTTGGTCATTCTTTTTTCACACTCCCAAAGGTGTTAAAGAAATATAAAAAAGGTACCAATAACAACAGTGGCAGTAATTCAAATGCGAGAATTGTTCAGGTCATGCCGAGGGTTTCAAATAGCATATGACGAATAAGTGCTAAAATGAACACTTA